ATCAAGTTATGCAAGTGAATTGTAACGGTGCGTGCGAGGCTTGTCGGTCGCCGTAATTGGTGTTATTCAGAAAGTATTCTACTGTCAGGGCCTGTTATGTGTAGGCAGATCCAGGAAGGGTTATAAGTGGGTTAGACCACTACTTAGAGATTTGCATATTTCCACAGCTGTGAGAAATCACCTGTGTGTTGCTATGGTTCTCCTGAGTTGAGTTAAGTGAAAAGCTTTTATATGATGAAGTGTTAGTCCATTAGTGGTTCTGGAGTTATGATGAAGATCATGTTCTATCGTATGTTGGAATGTTGGGTGCAATGAGTGGTATGGAATTTGAAGTGAAGATCAAGGTAACGGTTCGGTGTTGACAAAGATGTCACGAGCTCGGATGAGCAGGGAAGGAGTTTCGATGTTTAAGGTAAGTTGGTATTGTCTTCAGCGTCACCTGAGATCGGTGTTTCGTAAAAAGCGCTTTGCATCCTAGTTGATGATTCTTGATCGCTTTTCAGCGTTAGTGCGACCGGTGGTTTGGAGGTACGACCCAGATATTGTTATGGTAGGTTGTGGGAGTGTGTCCCACAGGAAGATTATATAAGTGTGGCATGTAGTCACTTGATTGATTAAATATGTAAACCAAGTATGAAGGCTGTAATGGTGTTGTGTTGAGGATTGATGCCTGGAGGGCACTTGGTCTATTGGGTTGTGAACTGGGGAGGATTACTCCGGTTATGAAAGTTGTTCTTATGTGTTATGAGCGGAAGAGGAGTTATTATGGACCTTTGAAATGTAATTAGCCTAGTTCAGTGCGATCAGAATCAGCTTGAGGTCTGTGGATGAATTCAAATGTGAATATGGGCTCTATATCAGGTCAGATGTGTTTATTTCAATAATGCACTCCCTATGGAAGAGTAGTCAGGATGTCATTTCGTCGTCAGTTGTTTCATGTAATGATATATTGCACCGTGTGAGTTGTGAGACGTCTTGGTGAATTGCTTATGTGTTGAGGTTCCGCATAGAGATGATGTTATATGAGAAAAATGGCTCTTGTGATTCAGATCGTATATCGCACCTCAGTTGTGCTTGAGTTTTGTAGCTTATAGCGCTATATGTCCCCTAAGGGATGGTATTATGCACTCAGCGTGCTTGTGACCGAAATTCGGTATATTATTGTAATGATCAATTTAACTCGATGTGCATCTCCTTAGGTGAGTGTTATGTGTGGATCGGGTGGCACGCCGCCATGGGTATGTTATTTGGATCGGGTTGCGCGCCGCAACAGTGTGATGTTGAGTATAATTCTTCTATGTGTTATTTTTGTATGCCTTGCTTCCTATTTTCTAAGGAAAGTCCATATTAGTGTGTGAGTTGAGTAGTTCCTTCTAGTATTCATCTTCCTTCTGTAACACGTTCGAATTGGTAGCCTATTGGCACATTGTGGCGTCATGTGAGACTTTTGATCGTGTTCGGGGGGGGGGGGGGGCTTATTGCCTGAGCAGTTCGTACTGGCTGAGATGAGATCATTGAATTCGAGATCAATGCAATCTGAGTATATGAAGTATATTAAGGGGCTAAGACCATTGTTTGGTTCAGAATGAGGTGATAGTTCTTGCCAGGAGTATAGACCCAATGAATTGTTGTTTCGGCAGTGGTTATGAATTTATACAGATCTCATCCGTCATGTCGGTATTGTAAGAGTTAGAGTAAGACCTATGTATGTCATGAGGTGCAATGGGAGCATCAGATTCGTGGAATTTCGACTAAGTCGATCAGAAAGTGTTATTGTGGTCCGGTGAGTAAAGTGATGCAAGGTGTGAATTCAGCAAAATTGTGCAGTCATGCTTGGGTACAATGTGTAGTGATTGATACGGTGATCGTATGTTAGAAACAGGCTTGGCAGAGAATTCCGGATGTTGAAATTGGACTCTAAGGCTTATTTGCTTGAATAAAAGGGAATATCTTCAAAATTGATCGAGCTGATGTGCTCAACTGAGTGGTGGTAGCACGGGGAGGTGCATGAGATGTTAAACAGTGATTTCAGACTACTTTAGTGTAGTTCTCAGCACGTTCGAGGACGAACGTATGTTTAAGTGGGAGAGAATGTAACGACCCGACCGGTCATTTTGAGCCCTAGCGCATCATTCAGCAGTCTGAGGCCATGAGCAGCTTTATTTCAGGTATTACGACTTGTACGCGTGGTGGGAATGGAGTTTCGGAAGTTTGGAGTTGATTTGAGAAGAGAATTCTCATTTTGGAAGCTTAAAGTTGAAAGAATTAACTAGGACGGGAGTTTTGAGTAAACGACCTCAGAATCAGGATCTGAAGGTTCCAGCAGGTTCGTATTATGATTCCGGACTTGGGCGTATGCCCGGTTCGGGTTTTGGATAACCCGGGAGCATTTTGACGCCTATTGTGGAAGCTAGCATTTTAGAAGAAATTTCATAAGTTTGGCTTGAAGTGCATTTCGGTGTTATCGATATCCGTTTGGGATTCCGAGTCTGTGAATAGCTCCGTATGGTGATTCTGGAGTTGGGAACGCGATCGGAAGTGAATTCGGATGTCCGTAGGTCATTTTGGAGTCATTTGGCTAAAGATAGAAATTTGAAGGTATTTGAGAAGTTTGACCGGAAGTGGACTTTTTGATATCCGGGTCGGAATCCGATTCCGAAAGTTGGAGTAGGTTCGTAATGTCGAATATGACTTGTCTGCAAAATTTGAAGTCAATCGGACGTGATTTGATAGGTTTAAACATCGAAGCAGAAGTTTGAAATTCTAAAGTTCATTAAGCTTGGATTGGAGGTCGATTCATGATTTTAGGGTTGTTTGATGTGATGAGGCCTCGAGCAAGTCCGTAATGTATTTTGGGACTGGTTAGCATGATTGGTTGGGGTCCCGGGGGCCTCGGGTGGATTCCGGGTGGTTAACGGATCGAAATTGGAATTTTGGGAAAGGCCTGAAGAGCTGCTGCTTCTGTCATAACCGCATCTGCGGTTTTTGGACCGCAGATGCGGGACCGCAGATGCGATCATTTTTTCGCAGATGCGGAAAGAGCTGGAGGCAGAGGGTTGTTTTAAATTCGGGATTTGGCCATTCTTCTCCCATTTCATTTGGCATGGACGATTTTGGAGAGCTTCAAGTGGGATTTTTCATCATCAACGACAAGGTAAGGTATCCCCACCTATTTTGAGTTAAATACATCAATTATGGATGGATTTGAGCATGAAATTTGTAGAAAACTTGGGGTTGAGGGAAAACCTAGAAAAATTGATATTCTTGGAATTTGACCACGATTTTGGGTATGGAATTTAGAGAAAATTATATATTTGAGTTCGTGAGGGTATGGGTAAACTTATTCTTCGAAAAATTTGGAAATTCGGGCACGTGGGCCCGAGGGCGTTTTCGTCAACTTTTCTATCGGGATTAGATATTGTTGTAAATTGGGTTGCAATGAATAATTGGGTATATATTAATGGATTGGTGTCATTATTGGCTAGTTTTGGAACGTTGTGCATCAATTAGAGTCTTTGGAAGGGCGTGGAATGCCGGTTACGGATCTTCGGAGCGAGGTGAGTCTCCTTTCTAACCTTGTAAGAGGGAATTGTCCCCATAGGTGAGTTAATTGGTTATGTGCTCCTATTTTGTGGGGGGCTATGTACGCACGAGGTGATGAGAGTCCGTGCGTAGCTACTATTATGCTATTGTCCGGGTAGTCTAGGACCCAAAAGCATGCTATACTTGGAACATTTGCCATCTTATTGACAACTTGTATTGCTTAAATCACATCGAATTTGTAAATGAGTTTCTAAAAAGATTTAAACTTCATTTTTCTTAAATTACTAAAGAGAATTGGCTTTTCTTTGGATAATTGCTCCATGTTGACTTCTTGATTGACTGTCTGTCTGTGTGTGTTTATTTTGGAACGAGCCGAACGCCTCGGCAGATTAAATAGATGGATCTATAGGCGCGCCGTCGACCCTCGGCACTGCACAATTTATATTTCTATTAGAGCGGGCCGTACGACCTCGGCATGATTTGCGCATGCTTGTATTGCTGCCTTGAACTTATTAAACTTGTTATTGCCTCTTCATGGCTTGAGAATATTTGGATAATAACGAACAGGAATTTTGGAAATTTCCTATAAAAGAAAATAATTGTTTACTTGTTTCCTTCTATTGGATTAAAATCATGTTTATAGAAATCCACGATTTGATGTATTATTGTCATCATTATTGGACCATTAGTAAGTGTCGAAGTCGACCATCTCGTCTCTACTTCTTCGAGATTAGACGGGATACTCATTGAGTACACGTTGTTTTCGTACTCATACTACACTTCTGTGCAATTTTGTTGCACAGGTATATGTAACTCTAGTGGCCTACTGGGCGTAGCAGCACGGATGATTCTGGGACTAGGTGAGTTGCAGTATCCGAGGCGGTCCGCAGCTAGTATAGTCCCTTCCAGTATATTGTGTTTACTTCTTGTCCACTATATTCCGGACGGATGTTGTATTTTATTTCCTTCTCAGTAGATGCTCATGCACTTTTGACGCCGGGTTCTGGGATGGTTTTAAAATATTTTGTATTAATTGCTTATCATTTAATTTGAATTGAAGCGGTTATCTTTTCATTTATAGAATTGAAGGAAAATATTAGTTTTCAAGATTGTTAAAATGAGAACTTCATCAAGTAATTTGGTTGGCTTGCCTGACAGCAGTGTCCGGCGCCACCACAACCCTTAGTGGATTTTGGGTCGTGACACTTGGCCACCTTCCGATGTTCTGTGGCCAAGACTCAGATTGATTATCTACTTTGCAGGAAGTCTGATAGAGGTCTTTGCACAGATTGCAAGGTCATCCCGAGTGAGAACCTCTCGACCCTTCATGGGCTCCTGGTCATGGACCTTCAGATCACGAGGAAGAGGAGGAAGAGGGCGATGTATAGCCAACATAGGATGAAGTGGAGAGCCATGACAGAAGCTAAAGTGCAGGAGTTGGGGTCAAGCTGGTGACTATGGGGGCTTGGAGGAGTAGTGGGGACGCAAGCGCTACGTGGACCACGAATGCGCAATGCATTAGGGAAGCCGCAAGAGAGGTATTAGGGGTCTCAAAGGGTTACTCTGATGGTCACAAGAGAGACTGGTGGTGTAATGGAGAGGTGCAAGGAAAAGCGAAAACTAAGAAAACAACGTATTTGAAGCTAGTGGAAAGTGTAGGCGAGGAGGAGAAGAGGGAGAATAGGGAGCATTATAAGTTGGCTAAGAAAGAGACAAAGCTAGCAGTTACGGCGGCCAAAACTGTAGCTTTTAATCGTTTGTATGAAGAACTCAAGGGCCGATATGGGGATAAGAGGTTGTTCAGGTTAGCCAAGGCACGGGAAAGGAAGGTGCGTGACTTAGACCAAGTGAAGTGCATCAAGGAAGAAGAAGGAAGAGTTTTGTTGGATGAGGGGCTTATCCGTTGGAGATGGCAGACCTACTTCCATAGTATCTTGAACAAGGAAGGGGACAAGAGCATTGTACTGGGTGATTTGGAACTCTCCGGGAGTCGCTATAACTTTGGGTATTGTAGGCGGATTAGAGTTGATGAAATTGAGGGGGTTATGCGAAAGATGAGCAGGGGCAAAGCGACAGGGCCGGATAAAATCCCCGTGGAGTTTCGGAAGAGTGCGGGCAAGGCAGGTTTGGAGTGGCTCACTAGGTTATTTAATGTCATTTTTAGAACGAAGAAGATGCCCGAAGAGTGGAGGTGGAGCACGATGGTTCCTGCATACAAGAACAAGGGTGATATCTAAATTTGCAATAACTATCGGGGTATCAAGCTGCTTAGTCATACTGTGAAAGTCTGGGAGAGAGTGGTAGAGCTTAGAGTGAGGAAGAGTGTGTCTATTTCCGAGAACCAGTTTGGATTTATGCCGGGGTGTTCGATTACAGAAGCCATCCACCTTGTTAGGAGATTGACGGAGCAATATAGGGAGAGAAAGAATGACTTGCATATGGTGTTCATCGACTTAGAAAAGGCGTATGATAACGTTCCGAGGAGATTTTATGGAGATGTTTGGAGGCTAGAGGTTTACATGTTGCCTACTTTAGGTTGATTAAGGACATGTATGATGGAGTAAAGACCCAAGAGAGGATGGTAGGTGGGGACTTGGACCATTTCCGGTTATGATGGGGTTGCATCAGGGGTCGACACTCAGCCCTTTTTTGTTTGCTCTGGTGATGGACGTATTGACACGCCACATCCAAGGGGAGGTGCCGTGGTGCATGCTATTTGTAGATGATATTGTATTGATTGACGAGATGCGAGACGATGTGAACGCGCAATTACAGGTATGGAGGTAGACCCCAGAATCTAAAGGTCTCAAGTTGAGCAGGACCAAGACACTATACTTGGTGTAAGTTCAGTGGCGAGACTCAAGGAGGGGAAGGGGAGGTGAGGCTGGACTCGCAGGACATCTAGGAGATGGTGTTTTAAGTACCTTGGGTCTATTATTTAGGGATAAAGAGAGATTGATGAAGATGTCACACATCGTATTGGGGCAGGATGGATGAAATGGAGACTCTTTTCCGGTGTTTTGTGTGATAAAAAGGTGCCACCGAAACTTAAGGGTATGTTCCACATAGTGGTGGTCAGATAAACGATGTTGTATGGGGCGGAGTGTTGCGATGAGGATTTTGCGATGGATGTGCAGGCACACCAGGTTAGATAGGATAAAAAATGAGGTTATTTGCGACAAGGTGGTTGTGGCCCCTATTGAGGACAAGATGCGGGAAGCACGGCTTATGTGGTTTAGGAATGTGAGGAGGAGGAGCACATACGCCTCGGTGATGAGATGTGAGAGGTTGACATTGGAGGGACTGCGGAGAGGTAGAGGTAGGCCAATGAAGAGGTGGGGAGAGGTTATTAGTCAAGACATGACACAACTTCAGCTGACCGAGGACATGACCCTTGATAGGAAGGTACGGAGGTCGAGGATTAGGGTAGTAGAGTAGGTAGTCTAGAGTGTTCATAACAGTAGGATTGGCATGTAGTCTCGCTTTTTGTTGGTAGTAGATTTTTATGACTTGTATGTGGTAAAACTGGAGAGTTTGATTTTAGCTCGCTATAACGCCTCATAAGAAAAGCTCTCCAAAGCCTCGGGACTACGGTCGAGATTCACCCCGAAGGGCCATCGATGCTCCACCTCGAGACAGTGCAAGTCGACAACTATGATAAAAAAGTGGGAAGTTCCCTAGGCGCACGACTGAGGCTGACAAAGCCTAGAGGTCTAGCCTTGACCCGTATCAGGGCATTAGGTGGCTATACCTGCCCCATATCTTTGTAATTAATGTATTTTGTACTATGTTCCCCCTCATATATAAAGGGGAATCCTTGTCATTTTGTACATGATCTGTTGCTCCATACAAAAATATACAAGAACATTCTCTCTGCTCTCTAGCATATTCTCTTGAGTTCATTACTCCATTTATTGCTTACATTCATTGTGCTGTCTTTATTGTTCATCATTTATTGGTTATTATTGGCCATAAAGAGCCGTCATTGATTTTATTCGGGGATTAAGACCAAGACTCACCGGATGGCGCAGGAAGTGATCTATCAGATGATGGTATACTTTGAAGGATAAGTTTGTGCATGGTAGTGTATTTATATGTGTTTTACCTCCTAGAACAACTTCATTTAATTCTTGGAAATGGAGCCACAAGTTGGATGATGATAGTTCAGATGTCAGACCCTAACATTGGTCACAATAGCTTTGGACAGAAAAGAGCCTAAGGGTAAAATACCTAGGAGTTAGAAACGTTTGTTATTACCAAAGATGTGATTTCGTACAACTCATGCAAATGACTAGAAGATATGATGTATGCAATGAGAACCAAGAGCATCCAATATTGAATTTCAGGGAATGATTTTAAGTGTTTAGATCTATACAAATCAGAACTAGAAGTACCACGTTAAGTAAGTTACTATAAGAAGTGGCTATATTGTGAGATAAAAAGATATGGCAGTTCCCCTTTAGGTTATGTAGACTAAATGATTAGCCTGGATGTTATAGTATGATATGTATTTGTATTGTATAGAAGTTTGGGTAGTATATCTAAGTTTGTTTAAGATAGATGAACTTCNTTTGTACTATGTTCCCCCTCATATATAAAGGGGAATCCTTGTCATTTTGTACATGATCTGTTGCTCCATACAAAAATATACAAGAACATTCTCTCTGCTCTCTAGCATATTCTCTTGAGTTCATTACTCCATTTATTGCTTACATTCATTGTGCTGTCTTTATTGTTCATCATTTATTGGTTATTATTGGCCATAAAGAGCCGTCATTGATTTTATTCGAATTGTTAGTCTCCCATCGATTACCCCTGATAGCTCTCAGCAGAGCTCCAGACCCGACCCCGAGGCCCTTGAATAAGCAAGCTCGAGGCCCCGACTATTGATCATTCGGTTTGGTTATCACCTTATTCTCCAACTCCTATCTTGTTTCTAAGTCTTTCACATGGCATCAACTGCATAACAACTAGCATAAAAATATATCACGTATTTTTAGAATCCCATTATAAAATTTAATTGTTATTACCATTTTCACGGTAAACAGTTTGGCGCCCACTGTGGGGCTAAATATAATAGTGATTATTTTCTTGCTGGTTTAACCACGTAACGCAAGTTATCTTTCACACTTTTTCTTGTCCAAGATCTTTGTTTTCAGGTCAAAATGTCTAACTCAGTAAACACACGTGAAAACATCAACCTTGAAGACCATGGAGAAAATGGTGTTGACTTCCCAGGTGTTGGTGTACCACCACAAAACCCTGAGGACGCACCGAAACCGATTCCCGTGGATGCAGTTTCACGCGACGCTCAACACGTCGAAATAAGCTCCCACACGAACAGGACCATACACCAAGGCGACCAACAAGAAGCCCAGAAAACCCCAGCTCGGGATGAACGGGAGGTTAGCCTTCATGTTATTTTGAAATGTTGCAGGCACAATAGCTGGCTATTGCTCAGCTACAAAGTCACCAGATAACTCCTAGCACGGTAGCACCGGGGACGGCTCCCCCAGCCGAGCAGGTACCAGAATGATCAAGCAACAATGGGTCGGCAACCGACCCCGCGATCGTAAAGATGCTCGAGGACTTCACGAGGAGGATTAAATCGGGAGAGAAAAAGATAGAGGCCAACGACAAAAAGGTCGAGACCTACAATTCTAGGGTCGACCGGATTCCGGGAGCACCCCCGATCCTGAAAGGTATGGATTCAAAGAAGTTCGTGCAAAAGCCGTTCCCACAGGAAGCGGCTCTGAAACCCATTCCAAAGAAGTTCAGAATGCCCGGCCTTCCAAAGTATAACGGAACGTCGGACCCCAACGAGCACGTCACTGCCTACACTTGTGCAGTAAAGGGCAACGACCTGAGGGACGACGAGATCGAGTACGTCTTGCTGAAAATGTTCGGGGAAACGCTTTCTAAAGGGGCCATGACGTGGTATCACAACCTAGTTCCTAACTCTATAGACTCATTTGCCATGTTGGCGGATTCTTTCATTAAGGCACATGTTGGTGCCATCAAAGTAGCAACAAGGAAATCCGACGTCTTCAAAATTAAGCAGAGGGAGAATGAGATGCTGCGAGAGTTCGTATCTCGCTTTCAAATGGAACGAATGGAACTACCACCAGTCTCCGATGACTGGGCAGTGCAGGCCTTCACTCAAGGTCTGAATTAATGAAGCTTGGTGGCTTCGAAGCAGCTGAAATAGAATCTGGTTGAATATCCCGCCGTGACCTGGTCGGACGTTCACAACCGATACCAGTCGAAAATCAGGGTCGAGGACGAACAACTAGGAGCCCCTCAGGCTCGGTATAGCTAAGCAGGCTTCTGGCGAAGGAGTCGAAGCCAAAAAAAGAAAGGTACTAGCCATACATTGAATAAAGGAGAAACGTCCCGAGGCGCAACATACCCCACAACGATCGAAGTATGGACCGAGGATAGAATCCTCCGGGACTCGTCAACCGAGCCGGATTTGATAGTCATACAGGGCCAACGGAGGCACCTCGCTTGTCGGAATACAACTTCAACGCGATGCATCTGACATCGTGTTCGCCATCAATAAAATCAGAGACGCCAGGTGGCCCAGGCCTGTACAATCGGATCCTTCGCAAAGGAATCATAACTTAGTGTGTGAATTTCACAACACGCATGGCCACAGGACCGAGGATTGCCACCATCTCCGAGAAGAAGTAGCCAGACTACTCAATAAAGTTCAGCTCCGAGAATTCCTATGCGACCGAGCCAAAAATCAGTTCCGGGAAAGAGAGGCGGCCAAGAAGAACGAAACGAATGAGCCGCAGCATGTCATCCACATGATCTTGGGAGGCATCGATGCCCCATAGGAGCCCATGATGAGATGAACAAAAATATCCATCACCAAAGAAAAGCGAACTTGGGCTACAAACCCGAGGATGCCCTCACATTCAGCGAAGAGGATATCGAGACCTTGTCTCAACCTCACAACGACGCACTGGTAATCTCTTTCCTTGTAAATTCATTTCAAATTAAACGTGTACTTGTGGATCCAGGTAGCTCGGCCAACATTATCAGGTCGAGGGTGGTAGAGCATCTCGGACTGCCTGACCAAATCGTACCCGCCTCTCGAGTTCTCAACAGATTCAACATGGCGAGCGAAACGACGAAAAGGGAAATCACTCTCCTGGTCAACATGGCCGGCGCAACCCGAAATGCCAAATTCCATGTCATCAAGGGAGGCATGAGCTACAACGCCTTGCTTGGAAGGTCGTGGATACACTACATGAGAGCAGTGCCATCCACCCTCCATCAAATGATGAAATTCCCGACAAAGGATGGGATTAAAACCGTGTACGGGGAACAGCATGGGCGAGAGAAATGTTCGCGGTGCACAATGTGGCCTCGACACCGATACCTCCACCTTCGAAGGAGCCGAAGGATAATCAAGCAGCAAAATAGAGATAACAAGCTACACTCTCGGCTACTCCCGACTAAACAAAGCAAGGGACCGTACCGCGTCCTCGTCACAAGCGACTGGTACACATCAGGGCTCGGATTATCGCCG